TTGTATTTCTCTTCCTCTACCTCAGTGACAGTGACGGCAATAAATGTTACGTCCATTATTAAAGAGCTGGGTGGTAAAAGGGTTGACGACGGCTGCAGATACGGATAATTTGAATTGGTAGAAAACCACCGCTGTGGAAAAATATGTTGATTTTTACATTATGTTCAAAAGAAGAGTTATGGCAGATATTGTAAAAATCTGGTGAGGAGTTATCACAGGACAATTTCAATTAATGTATCTTATCAGAGTCAGCTGATTGGGTTTGCAAATAACTCACGTGGTGGTATGGTAACTTACTTCATATTACCCCAGTAGGGCAATTAACCCCTTCAGAATGAGGGACCATTCAGAAAATATCACCTCAACAATGTATTCATCTAATCCTGTTCCTGAAAGAGTTAAATCCGCAAAGAATTAAATCCGCAGTCCTAATAATGAAGGTCCCGCATATTGTGCGTTATTATCGAGTATCTTTCCATAGTCAGATAATCTACTATCAGCAACCAGTGGGATTTCCCAGGGGCACAAAGTAATTCTGAGTAAAAATGCTCTAAATTCCTGTTATTTCGAAAACATCTTAGCAAAGTGGTTTTCTCTAATAAAATCCTTATTAGCTTACACAAAAGAACAAGTTAGCAAATGGCATAATTTGAGACAACAGCTGTATTTTATGTGATTTTTATATTATTAATATCTCATTTGTTAGCCAAATCGTAGGATATTACTTTCCCCGATCAACAGAGGGGATTTGCACGATTTCTGCTTGAAAAGAATCGGATTTCTCCTTAAACACATAAACGTGAAGAAGTCTGAGAGAGAATTCCGTAGAAAGTTCACCTGTCCATGAAATTTGTCCATGAACTCAGCTGATTCAAAGGATCTAAACTAAAAAAAAGCAGGCTTAGCTCAGCACACGCATTTATTTGTGAGATTTACAGACAAGGAGAGTCACATTGATTATCAATCAAAGGCGTCTTCTTGCATCGTAAGCAATTTTCCAAACGCCAGATTTAGGGAGTCCTGTGGTTTCCCCAACAGTTTCCCACACATATTGAGAAACATTTTCAGTAAACCTTGCCAGCAACATAATAACCTTTTATGAAATAATCTGTGCTTTAGATCAGATCATTGCAATTCAGAGAAATATTTACACTATTTTTAAAATGATGGATAACTGTATGTGTTCCAAAATCTTCACGATTTCCAGGCAGAACCATAATATGTCTATTACCAGGATAATAGTGTGCAGTGCTCTGTATAGTACAGGTGCCTGGTGTAACAGTATTTACTGTATGTGGGATTTATTCACAGATTACCATTACAGTCTTAGAATATTGTTAAGAAACTGCAGCTCTGGTGTTTCTTACAAATGCCAAATAGCAAAATATTTGAATATTTCTGTACTTAGTTACAGATGCCATAGCCCCGGTCGCAATCTTTCTTTTTAATTGTCAATATATTAATAGTGTCAATCCAAGCTTAGAATTCCTATGTGTTATTTATTATTCCTTATTGGTTTAAAAAGAGACCTGGGTCACTAATTTCTGACCTTCTGAAGAAGAGTTATCGAGACATGGACTATTTTAGTTATTTGAAGTGGTCATGGTGCGTGGATGTTCTATGTGCATTTCTACAATAAAATGATGTACAGACAGAGTAACTAAACCTACGCCAGTGTCATTTGCTGGCCTGGAACGAGAGTTGGCTGGATAAATTTAATTACGGACACATTTGTCAATAGACACACACCGGACTTTCTGTGGCTGTCCAATCACAGACTTCCCAATGCAGCTCAATAAGAAGTCTTTGCAAGGCTTGAGTTTATCTTCACTGAGCTAAACAAACCAGGAAGTAATAGGACCGGGTGTCTGATTGACAGCCAGAGGGGTGTAACAAAGTTAATTTATAAACGTGCAAATTTCTAAAATGGAAAAAAAAGAAGATACACTTCTCATATATAAAATACTTCAGCAACCTAAACTGCTTCAGGTGCGTGGATAGGTCTATTAACACAAAAGGCTAATGACACCCATGTTACAGCTTATCATTATTGAATGATTAAAGAGTCAAATGGCAGGTCATTCCAACATGGATTTGCTTTGTTTGTCGTCTTAAAGATTAGTTCTCCAGAATGCCCATTGTACAGCGCTACAGAATCTGATGGCGCTATATAAATAATAAAATAACAATGCATGCGTAACAATGAACACTTAATGGAGAGCGGTCACGTTTCAGGATTCTTACTATTATGTTCCCTTCTCCCTACATTTAACAAATTTGTGTTTGAGATGTTAAACATAACATGTAGAAATCCACCTCTCTTTATCCTGTAACTATGTGCCTCCATCTTGTTCAGCTCTGTGGTGGTGGGCTTAACACAATATGGCCTAATGGAACTGAATCCCCATATTTGTTTGCTGAGATAGGTGATTTTAAATTTATAGAACTTAGAAATGTATTTTATGAGTGTGCTGTTCCTTAATCTGTATTATATAATACAACAACAGGCTGGGGTAGTATATAAAACAGTATATAATAGGTATAATATATACAATACAGTGTGTAATAAAGTAACATGCTGGGATAGTATATAGTACAGTAACAGACTACATATACTATAATACAGTGTTTAATACAGTTACAGGCTGATGTAATATTTAATGCAGTGTATAATACAGTAACAGGCTGGGATGGCATATAAAACAGTGTATAATAGGTATAATATATACAATACAGTGTATAATAAAGTAGCATGCTGGGATAGTATATAGCACAGTAACAGAATATAGAATATAATACAGTGTTTAATACAGTAACAGGCTAGGGTAGTACATGATACAGTGTATAATACAGTTACAGGCTTCTGTAACATTTAATAAAGTGTATAATACAGTAACAGGCTGGGATAGTATATGATACAGTGTATAATAGAGTAACAGGCTGAGATATTATATAATACAGTGTATAATACAGTAACAAGCTGGGATAGTATATAATACAGTGTATAATAGAGTAACAGGCTGACATAGTATATAATACAGTGTATAATATAGTAACAGGCTATGATAGTATATAATACAGTGTATAATACAGTAACAAGCTGGGATACTATATAATACAGTGTATAATACAGTAACAAGCCGGGATAGTATATAATACAGTGTATAATTCAGTAACAGGCTAGGATGGTATATAATACAGTGTATAATATACTAACAGGCTGTGATAGTATATAATACAGTGTATAATACAGTAACAAGCTGGGGTAGTATATAATACAGTGTATAATACAGTAACAGGCTGAGATAGTATATAATACAGTGTATAATACAGTAACAAGCTGGGGTAGTATATAATACAGTGTATAATACAGTAACAAGCTGGGGTAGTATATAATACAGTGTATAATACAATAACAGGCTGTGATAGTATATAATACAGTGTATAATACAGTAACAGGCTGAGATAGTATATAATACAGTGTATAATACAGTAACAGGCTGGGATAGTAAATAATACAGTGTATAATACAATAACGGACTGAGATAGTATATAATACAGTGTATAATACAATAACGGACTGAGATAGTATATAATACAGTGTATAATACAATAACGGACTGAGATAGTATATAATACAGTGTATAATACAGTAACAGGCTGTGATAGTATATAATACAGTGTATAATACAATAACGGACTGAGATAGTATATAATACGGTGTATAATACAATAACGGACTGAGATAGTATATAATACAGTGTATAATACAATAACGGACTGAGATAGTATACAATACAGTGTATAATACAATAACGGACTGAGATAGTATATAACACAGTATATAATACAGTAACAGGCTGTGATAGTATATAATACAGTGTGTAATACAACAACGGACTGAGATAGTATATAATACAGTGTATAATACAGTAACAGGCTGAGATAGTATATAACACAGTATATAATATACTGTAAGACTTTGGTTATAATACAGGACTTGTCTGGGTTTTTATTAGAAGTGACGCAGTGACGTCGGGCTGGATAACAAACTCCTGTGGTCGCAGTAACATTGCGTTGAATTTTCGCTGTCTGTCTTCCTTTATTGACAGATTACGGTTGTGCAAGTCATTTTTTCAGCTGTCATTACAAGCCGACCTTTGTGGTGTCTGCGTGCAGTATGAAGGCCACGTGTGTCCAGCAGATGGCGCAAATATTCTATTAATAAAGAGATCACCCTCTCAGCCAAAAGCAGAGTGAGCCGGGGGTGTGTCTACGGACCCCCTCGGCCGACGTCACAGCCTGTGCTGGGAAGTATAGGCTGTTCTGTCACGCCAGTGTCAGTCTGATGAAGATTGGCATTCAGGTAAGCTGTCATTCATTCTCAATGTCAGGAGCTGCGTTCCAGGCTCTGAGCTGCTGCCGTCGCTGTTGCTGCTGCTTGCAGTCTGTGTGTGTGTGTAGTGAGTGCAGAGTGTGTGCCTCTCTCTCTCTCTCTCTCTCCTTTTTTTTTTTTTTACAGTCCCATAGCCGGAGCGCTCTACATACAGACAGGGCATGGAGGAGGAGGCATTGTAGGACAACAGCGCCTGAGCTGCTAATATGCTCAATGCTCAGTCTGCCGCCTGGATCTTTACACGCTCGGCGTTCACACTGAGCCCTTATACGCACACACACACACATATATATATATATATATATATATATATACATACAGAGAAATATATATACACATATAGAAATATACACACATACATACATACCTAGACAGAAATACACATTTTTAGTTTTGTTTTATTTTTTTCTCCCTGTTTTTGTTGGCACTAACTGCATTTTTTAAAAACATTGTTTGTTTGATTTTTTTTTATAATTTTCCTGTTTGCTAATAAAGCCTTTTTTTAAAATGTTGGTTTTTTTTTTTTTTAGCTTTAGATTGCTAATTTTTGCTCTTGTTTTGATTTAACTCTTTTTTTTTTTTTTTTTTGCTTCCTTGGACAATAATTCTATATATATATATATTTTATTGCTTGTATTTTAACTCCTCACTGGCATTGCTGCTTCCTTTCTGACTGTTGGAATATTTGATTTAAATTTTTTTTTTTTATTATTTTGTACTGTTTTATGCTTTGATCTGTCCTGGGACTTTCCACGATCCTGGCTGTTTTTTGTTACATTGTGTTTGTTTAGAATTTAAAGCACAGAATGCTGTTTATGGATGGAGGGGATTTAAATGGGGTCTCCGCTTGATTGGGGTTTAAATAAGAAATGAATGAATTTATAAGAAAGTGGTGATTTACAGTTTTTGCAGGGAGCCGAGCAGATGTTATGCATCTAATTAGTGGAAATTTGAAATAAATCCATTAAAATGTTATCCATTAGTGTGCGTTTTATACATCCGTGCAATATTAATGCTTGTTAAGCGATTGTAATGTCTACCTTAGTGTTCTGTTTGTGCTTTTTGGACATATTGTTATTTTCTATCTTTATTGTCGGTCTAGGCTTATTGCCCTAATTACTGTGTCTGCTCGTTGTTTAAGAAATGGTTAACTAAGCTGTGAATGTTTCAGACACATTGTAAGCTCACATGAGAATGTTTAACTGCCTGAGGTTTCTTTTATTTCTCTGTCTCTCTCTCTGTATATATATATATTTAAATATATTTTATAACTGCAACTATCAGCAAAGAAACGTATTGGGTTTTACTGGCACTGAAAGGGTTAAGAATCGTTAGCAGCTAAACCCATGAAATGAACATATATGAAATATGTAGAATGTATGTATATAATTGGCATGTTAGTAAATCAAAGCTCGTTCTATATGTGTAGTTAAAGTTACCCTACATTCTTTCTGTTTGTACCATCGATGCCGGAGTTATTGAACAAGTAACTGATAACCGAACATCACGTTTAATGCGCTCTATTCTCTCTCAATTGGGATCTCTATTGATTTTTTTTTTTTACGTTTTCAGCACGTTTCCGATAGGAAATTGATTATAATGCTTGAATTGCAGTCACGGGGTTCTGAATTTAATACATGGATGTACGTCTTTGACTCTTTCTGTAATTAATTTAATGTTGGGATTCAAGGGGCATAAAGACTGATGAAAAGGCCTTGCATGATTTATAATTTTAGAAATGATTTAATTGTGCGTATTTGCAACATTTTATATGAAGTAGTCTCTTTATTTAAGTGTTTCTGGAAAAATGTGTACTTTTTGGTGCATATAAATAAACAAAATAAACCAGGGAAAAGTTCCTTCAAGCTGAAAAGAAAGTTGTTAAAGTTTGCAATTTCCCGTCTGTTTCCAGACGGGGAAAGCTCGCTTGGAACAATATCTTAAAGTGTTCGACCATTTCTATGAATGCGTTACAGTTGCAGCTTTTAAATGAAGATTTGGGTTTGTGATATTGCTCAGTTTAAACAGCATTCATTTGGCTTCTACAGATGGGTTTCTGTGTAATATTTTTTTCTTAAGGGATTTTAATTAAAGCAATTAAGAAGGAAAGAGGATTGTGTGTGGTGAGTGTTTGTAGTTTTAGAGGCTGTTGTACACTTATATCCATCTGCTTTTTGGGATAAGGGGAGCGGACAGTTACCCCCCATCTGTCTGTCGGGGCTAGTATCGGACTAAAGCGTATTTTGGTTTCGTTTGTAAGAATGATCACATTTTAAAAAAAGTAAAAAAGTAGATCTGATCTTCAGCTTTCTTTAATCTGTCTTCATGATGATAGTTGGTCTTACAAACTGTACAACTTTTAGCATTAATAAAAATATCAGAATAACTTGAAAACAAGACTAAAACATGGCCAGCAAGCTGTGAATACGAGTTTTAATAATTCCTCTACGTATTACATGAAATAAGTAATACTACCAATGTAATATTACATTAAATCCATCCACGGACAGTATATATGTCAGAATATCCCTTCAATTATTTCATAGTTATGGAATTAACACAGGTAACAAGACATACGCAGGCAAGGCCGTGGTCAGCAGAAGCTGTGAACGAGCTGTCTGTATCGATCTTGCAGAATCTCAGTCTTAATTAACCGAATCTTAGAGCCCGACTTCTCGACCTCCGACCCCAAGCATGGCGGCCTTTTTTTCTTCTTCAGATTAATTTCAGATTGGCTGACAGCACAGAGTAATGACTGGGAAGTGTCTCCAGGCTGTTACTCATTAAGTTAGACTTGCCGAGTAAAATCCACCTGTTATTAACATTATCGTTAATTAATGCCCAGGGTTGGTGCAGTCAGATTTCCTTTCCGCTGATGATACTGCTCATTTAACCTTCTCATGCCTGCTTCTCGTGTGTTCTGGATGGGTGCGTGTATCGAGGTGTCAATTTCAGTCTGGGACCCAGCGATGTATTTTGCAATTGCCCCACGTAGTTTTATACCTCTGGAAATCCCTATTTATGCTTTTTAAATTACATTTGCTCCATCTGGAGTGGCCTATCTGCCATTTGGAATCTCCCCTGCCCTACGAACCAGAAAATAGTTAATTTCCTTTCCGTAAAGTCACTCGAATTGTGAACCAAAGTGTCTTTCAGAGCACAACTTGAGAAACAAAGAGTTAGCTTATTGATTCTTCCTCTCTCTGTTAAAAGTATAACGTAGAATAATCTTCCCATATAACGTGCATTCCAGACTTACATAATTTAACTACAATATATATATGTTAATAGTTACAGAACCTTTTGATTTCTATAGCTTAATGATATAATCGGAAAATGAAAATTAGAAGCCATAATGGCATTCATATTATTAATTTAACTCTCTCTCTCTATATATATATATATATATATGGAATAAACACACAGGATTAAACACAGGATAAATATATTTTGAGTATAGACCCACAGGGTAAACACAGGATAAATATATGTTGGGGTATAGACACACGGGTTACACACACAATAAATATATTTTTGGGTATAGATACCTGGGATAAGCACAGAATAAATATATTTGTGAGTATAGATATCTAGGATAAGCAAAGGATAAATATATTTTGGGGTATAGATACATGGGATAAACGCAGGATAAATATATGTTGGGTATAGATACATGGGATAAACACAGGATAAATATAATTGTGGGTATAGATACCTGGGATAAACACAGGATAAATATAATTGTGGGTATAGATACCTGGGATAAGCACAGGATAAATATATGTTGGGTATAGATACCTGGGATAAACACAGGATAAATATATGTTGGGTATAGATACATGGCATAAACACAGGATAAATATAATTGTGGGTATAGATACCTGGGATAAGCACAGGATAAATATATTTGTGGGTATAGATACCTGGGATAAACACAGGATAAATATATGTTGGGTATAGATACCTGGGATAAGCACAGGATAAATATATTTTGGACTATAGATACCTGGGATCAACACAGGATAAATATTTTTGTTGGACTATAGATACCTGGGATCAACATAGGATAAATATATATTTGGGGTATAGATACCTGGAATAAACACAGAATAAATATATTTCGGGGGTATAAACTCAAGAGGCAATTATCTCTAATCATATCATTTTGATTTACCATCTGCTCAAGCAGTTTTTTAAGATTTATTTGAAATAATAATTACAGTCATTGCATCTTATTAGAAATGTAGGCTTTACCTCTATAACATGCTTTTATGTCATAATATTCAAATTTGACTAAAATAAGTTTAAACAAAATAAATTGCTGTCTATACTTTAAATGAGACCTTTTGGTGTATTTTATTATGAACTATTTTGGTTTTTGAACAGGCTCTTTTGTTTCTCGGGAATTTGTATTTTAATCTGATTTAGCAAAAGGGCACTTGAGACATTATAACAATAACTCTCTGTAGCTGGTGACTTAGTGCTTCGAGAGAATGGAACTTACCTAGAACCTAGAACATTTATAAACCGTGATACAGCACTATGGAATCTGATGGCGCTATATAAATAATAAAATAAAATAATAATAATCAGTAAAATTAGGTAACATTTGACTTTATTAGAAGATTAATCTTTGATAGCGGAGTTAACGGTCATTCCTGATTGGAGCAAATGGTAATGACACTAATTGTGTCTTATTTAGCTTATCTTCACTAAACTGAATGTCTCAAAGAGGTGAGGTTTACTCTCTAAATAAAAAACAAAACAAAAAACAAAGACTATTTAAAAATAATTCGCTATTTTATTACATTACCATGGCTATTTCAAAGCGAATACACTGCTGAGAAATGCGAACCAAATTACGCTGAATATCCAAGTCAGTAAAACACTATTTTCAATCAGCTGCATTGTTAGACCTATAGTTATATATTTAAAAAGGAGTACCAAGAAATTTTATTTCAGGAGTTATTTTCGTGTGCACATAAGAAGATATAACTCTTCGCAAAATATTGGTGTCCATTTGTCGCCCAATGTGAAACTGGAGAAGTGAACTCTGTCTGTGCATTTTCAGTGATTGTACAGTAGAATCAGGTGGCACACATCAACGTGAGATGGATTTATACCAGATTCAATTACATTTATCCCACTGAACTCTACTCCTGTTTTAATTCTGAATATAATAATAGACCCCATGGAAGTCGCCTTGAGCAAATAAATCTAACGAACTTGGAGATTAATTCTGGGTGATGCAAGTGATGCAAGGGTGATAATCGGTGATAAGACAAAAAGAGGTGTGATAGGATGATAAGAGGTGATAGGATGATAAGAGATGATCAGATGATAAAACCGTGATAGGATGATAGGAGGTCATATGATAAGAGATGATCGGATAATAAGAGATGATCAGATGATAAAAGGGTGATAGGATCATAGGAGGTGATATGATGATAAGAGATGATATGATGATAATAGATGATATGATGATAAGAGGTGATATGATGATAAGAGGTGATAGGATGATAAGAGGTGATATGATGATAAGAGATGACTGGATAATAAGAGATGATCGGCTGATAAGATGTGATAGGATGATAGTTACTTTTTATAAGTGGTGATAGGATGATAAGATGTGATAGAACATTAAGAGGTGATAGGATGATAGGAGGTGATAGGACGATAAGAGATGATCGGATGATAAAAGATGATCGGATGATAAGAGATGGTCGGATGATAAGAGATGATCGGATGATAAGAGGTGATATGATGATAATAGGTGATCGGATGATAGGAGGTGATAGGATGATAAGAGATGATCAGATGATAAAGATGACCGGATGATAAGAGATGATAAGAGGTGATATGATGATGAGAGGTGATAGGATGATAAGAGGTGATAGAATGATAGGAGGTGAGAGGATTGTAGGATGTTAAGGGGTGATAGGGTGATAAGATGTGATAGGAAAATAAGAGGGGATAAGAGATGATATGAGGTGATAGAACAATAAGAGGGGTTAGAACAATAGTTGATATGATGATAAGGGGTGATCGGATGATAGGATGATAAGAGGTGACTGGATGATAAAAGGTGATCGGATGATAAGAAGTGATGAGGTTATAAGTGGTGATAGGATGATAAGATGTGATAGAACATTAAGAGGGGATAGTACGATAGGTGATAGGATAATAAGAGATGATAGGATGATACGAGATGATAGGACACTAAGAGGGGATAGAACAATAGATAATAGGATGATAGGGGTGATATGATAATAAGGGGTGATATGATGATAAGAGGTGATCGGATAATAAGAGGGGATAGGACAATAGGTAATATGATAATAATGGGGGATAGAATAAACTTCCCATATAACGTGCATTCCAGACTTACATAATAGGACAATAAGAAGTGATAGGATGATAGGTGATAGGATGGTAAGAGGTGATAGTATAATAGGGGGTGATAGGACAATAAGAGGTGATAGGATGATAGGTGATAGGATGGTAAGAGGTGATAGGATGATAAGAGATGATAGGACAATAAGAGGTGATAGGATAATAATGGATGATAGGACAATAAGAGGTGATAGGATGATAAGGGATGATAGAACAATAAGAGATGATAGGTGATAGGACAATTATTATTAATATTATTATGATATTTAAAGAACGCCATCAAATTCCGCAGCGCTTTACAATGCGTGGACGAACAGACATGTACTTATAACCAGACAAGTTGGACACACAGAAACAGAGGAGTTGAGGGCCCTGCTCAATGTGCTTACATGCTAGAGGAAGTGGGGTAAAATGACACAAAAAGGTAAGGATAGTATTAGACTAGTGACAGTTGCAGAAGAGGAATCAGTCAGGAGCTATTAACAGTTTAATTGATACGCTTTTATGAAGAAGTGGGTTTTTAATGATTTTTTGAAGGAGTGGAGACTGGGTGAGCATCTAACGGAGGAGGGAAGCGAGTTCCACAGGAACGGTGCAGCCCTCGAGAAATCTTGAAGGCGAGCATCAGAGGTGGGAATACGGACAGAAGATAGACGTAAGTCTTCAGCAGATCGTAAGGGCCTAGACGGGACATACTTGTGTAAAAGGGAGGATAGATAGATGGGGGCAGCATTATGTAGAGATTTGAAAGCAAGAACCAGAATTTTAAATTGAGCTCTATATTTTATAGGAAGCCAATGTAGGGACTGACAGGAGGGTAAGGCATGGGAGGTGCGGGAGGACAGGAAGATGAGCCTCGCTGCCGCATTCATTATGGACTGTAACGACACTAGTTGGGAGCACGTAAGACCACTGAGAAGCGGATTACAGTATTCAAGGCGAGAAAGGACAGTGGAATCGACCAACACCTTAGTCGCATCTGGCGTTGAGTAGGGGCGGATGCGCGCAATTGTTTTTGAGATGGAAATGACAGGATTTGGCGATAGATTGAACATGAGGCTTGAAGGAAAGGGTTGGAGTCAAAGAGAACACCTAGGCAGCAATAAGATGGGATAGGATGATAGGTGATAGGATGATAAGGGATGATAGAATGATAAGAGGTGATAGGATGATAAGGGATGATAGAATGATAAGAGGTGATAGGACAAAAAGAGGGTATAGGATAAGAAGCGGTAATAGGATGATAAGAGGTGATCTGACAATAAGAGGGGGTAGGACAATAAGAGGGGGTAGGACAATAAGAGGTCAAGGACGATAAGAGTTCATAGGAAGATAAGAGTTCATAGGTTGATAAGGGGTGATAGGATGATAGGTGATACAATGATAAGGGGTAATAGGATGACAAGGGGTGATAGTATGATAGGTATATGGTGATAAGGAGTGATAGGATGATAAGAGGTGATAGGACGATAAGAGGTAATAGGATGATAAGAGGTGAGATAGGACAATAAGACGTGATAGGACAATAGGAGGGGGTAGGACAATAAGAGGTCACAGGACGATAAGAGTTCATAGATTGATAAGGGGTGATAGGATGATAGGTGATATGGTGAAAAGGAGTGATAGGATGATAAAGGTTGATAGGATGATAGGTGATAAGGGTTCATAGCACAATAAAAGGGAATAGGATGATAAGGAGTGATAGGATGATAAGGAGTGATAGGATAATAAGGAGTGATAGGATGATAAGGGGTGATAGGATGATAGGTGATATGGTGATAAGGAGTAATAGGATGATAAGAGGTGATAGGATGATAAGGGGTAACAGGATGATAGGTGATATGGTGATAAGGAGTGATAGAATGATAAGAGGTGATGGGATGATAAGAGGTAATACGATTATATGTGATAGCACAATAAGAGATGATTGGACAATAAGATGGATAAGAGGGGACATGGCAGTTGTGGGTAATCGGAAAAAAGGAAGTGATAGGATGAAAAGGGGTGATAAAATGATAAGAGGAGATAAGACAATAAGAGGTGTTGGGGTGATAGGATGATATGGATAACTGTTGAGAAGTGATAGAGTGACAAGTGGTGTTAGTATAGTAATGGGGATAGAACAATATAGTTTGATAGTTTGATAAGTGGTGATAGTATGATCATGGGTGACAAGTGATGATAAGAAGATAATAGTTGATAGGGCAACAAGCGATGTTAGGATGATTATGGTTGACAGGATGACAAGCGAAGTTAGGACGATAATGGCAGGTATCATTATAAGGGGAGACAGGATGATAGTTGGTGATAGGACAATAGTTTGTGCTTGTTATATAATTTAGTGATCATATAATGTACTTTTTTTTTTTTAAATTAATGTTCAGTGTCTTTCTTGGAAACAATCCCAGTCTTCAATTTGCTATTAGATAAATATGGTGTGCATGCATTTTGTAAAATTTGAAGTGGAAAAAAGTATTTAAATTAATAAATACATGTTATCCAAAATAAATGTTTGGCTCAATTATTAATGCAAATGTTGAGAATGTTAAACATCTAAACATGACTGGACTTCTTGGCTCCCTACACTTCTTCTAACTGATTAATAAATCCCCTCACTGTTCTCCCTTTTTATTCTATCCCCAATTGTATCCCCTTAGTCCCAACCTCTTATCTCTGGCAGCAGCCATGTCCTCCGTTCCTTGGCAGACCAGAGAGGTACAGAAAAAAATGGTGACAAAATATTTCTGTTAGTACCATTTTTAATAATAATTTATATTAAAATAACACGTTATGTACAATTTTATGCACAGGTGAATAATGTAGTTTAACATTCAGATTTTACACAAAAATGGGTTTATTTTGCCAAAAAACAATTTATGGTGAATCACCAAAAGTCTCTCAGTATTTACACCAATAAAACCCTACTCTTGTCTGCAGTAGAGAAATGTTCACCTCGTCTATTTTAGTCAATGCTTCTTATCGCTAGGCACTGTTTAGTGAATAGATGAAGAATTTGATAGCGTTCGTCTGGGCTCTGGGGATGTCTTTGAGCAGAACGTTACTCTAAACATTCAGTCATTTCATGAGTTCTTTACCCTGTGAGCCGTATTATCGGCAGACCAAATCTTCAGACAATGCATTGATTCAGATCTGCTGAGTATAAATGTGCCATGTGATATGGGGTTAATGTTATTTACTTTTTAGTCTCTGGTTCACTAAGAAAAATATAATCTGATGACAGAAGCCAGTAACTTGCCATAACACGACTCCTACACATTCACTTCCCCTATAGCGAGGACGATTTTTCCAAATGAAAAACTCTTTTATATAAACTAGCTATCCACACAGTGTGATCTCGATGAATCCCAAATCAGAACAGGAAACAAACGTTATTAATGTAGTTATTAATGAGGCTTTTTAAAATGTTTAAATGGACTCATGGTTTATGCGCTAAACAAATCATTGTGACAATTGACAATATATTTATAAATCCATGTCTGTACATAAGTGGATAATTTTGTTCTAAAAAATAATTTAGCAATTTACGGTCAAAACCAAGATGTAGGATTTTAGCTGAGAAGTGAAATAATTTCTGCTTTATACGATAAGGATAAATTTGGTGCTTTGCGTGTCAAGGAAGTTAAATAGTTAGGTTTAATAAAGAGTTAATAAGGGGTTATTAACATTTGATTTCCATGGACATTACATTAGAAAAATGTTTGAAATGCCTCTTGAGCTGTATTGAAAAATCTACCATAATGTGTAACGGTAGACTTCTCCTCATTAGACAACATGAGATATTTTACTAATCCTATGAAAGAATGATTGATACCTCACTAAAAAAAAAAATACATATTGACAGATCACTAAATTTACTATCAGTTTAAACCTACAATGAAATACAGAAAAAGTTGACGATTTAAGAAGTAACTTCGAGGGAGATGACCATCGTTGTGTTCTGGAAAGTGGAGCAATTATAATGCTTGCCGTTTCCACCGGTTTCTATGATGACTTTAGACTACTTTAAAAAAACAAAACAAAAAAAAAAACGACACGTTCTGAAACCTTCTCCTCCACATTTGCTTTATATCAAACTGCTGTACTTCTGCACCTTTAGCTGTCTCAAATAAAACATAAGGAACGTTTGTCAATCTTTGCACAAAAAGACATTCAGTTTAATTCCAGGGAAACTAATGGTTAAGATCTTAATCAAAATGTACAAATGAAATCATACTGGACACATGACGGACAATGACAATAAATCTTTTAAAAGCTAAAGAAACTCCAGAAAAAGTATTATTTTTAACATCACTGTAAATGATGACAGTGATATTTATATTTATTTAATTTCTGCTTTATAGTTACATAGCTGAAAAGAGACTTGCGTCTATCAAGTTCAGCCTTCCTCACATATGATATTGATATTTCTGTCTAATCTTTATTTTAAACTTAAGTTCTGTTTTTCCCCTGTATATTATATGTACATTATTTTTCTGCATTTTCTATAAAGCACATTATTTAAATATCAAAGCTTTTAACAAGGAAGGAACATGTAGCTTGTCCTTAGTTGACTAATAATAACCTAGGGGTCTAGATATTATTATTTCCCAACTTAATGGCATTGAACTTGTGAACTAACCTGACTGAGTTACAGCAGCTGGAGTCCTATCCACTGAGCTATCTCTCAGGACGCAGTTTACATTTCAGCGTGAGAAATAATCTTTTATTTACAACACTTTTATTTTTTTCAATATATTTTTCATGACTTCAGCAATTGAAACTCACACGGGCTTTATTTACTAAACATTTAAATTCACTGAAATAAAAACTGAATTGTGACACAGCAGGTTATTCACAAACATGACAATTCAATGAGAATTCAAACTTCAAATTTAAGACTTTTAGTAAATAACTCTGTAAATTCTACTAGGGTTATTCAATAACCGGGGATTTTCTGGAAACGATACGGGAATTTCATAGTTTGAAACCTATTTCAAATTAGAATTCCTAACAATTCCCCTCTTAGTGAATAATCTTGAAACAAATGTAAACTAAATATCACAAGGTGGTTATTTTTGTAAATTGGTTATTTTTTTTCTATGTTTTCAGTGTCTCTTTTTCAATGTAGCCCCATTTCTTATTTAGTCAATAAACATTATTTTACCACTAGCTTGAGTGACATTTTGTCTTGGAGATTATTCGCTAAACACCGACAAATTTACGCTAAGGCCAAAATAAACTCTTTCAATAAAGTGATAAAAAAAACAAAACCCTGATATAAAATATTGAGAGGAAAATTTAAAATTTTGGGGTGATTTTATGTGTGACTGCTGTAGTAGTTTCTGCACGGACCGCGCCATGTGCTCACGTTGTGGTCATAAACATGTAAAATTGTGGTTAATCTGACACAGATGAAGTTTTGACCAAGATGTGTTTCATTAACCAGACCAGACTCTGCTGTAACACAGTAAACGGCTAAAATTAAATTTTACACTGATTCTAAAATGTAAACTATACATATACATGTTTAATTCCTTTGTGTATTAAATCATTTAGTATTTTAAATTAGAACATTTTGTAGGCTGTTTTTGTATTGCAGACAAACTGCATTAACTGTTTCATTCATAGGAGTTAATAATGTTTGCAAACTCAGCTATGATTCCATCGCTTCCATTGGAGCAGGAGCATAGATTGCACTGGGGGGTGGAGAGCGGAAAGAGATGCAGTCGTTTCGTTTTTTCAGATGGCTGCAGCTTAGTTAGACTTGGTACCTTCCACAACCCTACAATATATGGGCTCCAGGTGTGTGAATGAGAATTTATGTACCAGCTTCGAATGCTTGTTTGTATGCGGCTGACAAGGGGGAAGCAGGAAGTAGACTGTGTGAGTGTATGCCGAACTCTTCTGCTTCTCTACCACTAGACACCATGCGCACAGAAGATTCCACCTCTGCCCCTCACTCCTGGGGCCCGCAAAGCCAACTTACAGGGGAGGAGAGGAACAATCGCGCAATACAAACATGTGTGTCTGTGTAAGAATGTGACTGCGTGTACGTGAGTATGTCTACGTCTATGTATGACCATGACTATGTGTGATTGTATATCTGTGTATAAATGTGACTGCGTGTACATGAGTGTGTCTATGTATGATTGTACATCTGTATATGAATGTGACTGCATGTACGTAACTATGTCTATGTATGACCGTGACTATGTGTGATTGTATGTCTGTGTATGAATGTGGCTGCTTGTATGTGAGTGTGTCTATGTATGACCGTGCCTATGTGTGATTGTACATCTGTGTATGAATGTGACTGCGTGTACGTGAGTGTGTCTATGTATGATTGTACATCTGTATATGAATGTGACTGCATGTACGTAACTATGTCTATGTATGACAGTGACTATGTGTGATTGTCTGTGTATGAATGTTACTGTGTGTGTAATTGTATATCTATGTATATTTGCGTGATTATGTGTCTATGTGACTGTGTGTGATTGTGTGTCTATGTATGTATGCATGTGACTGTGTTTGTAATTGTGTATGCATGTATATCTGTATGTATGTATTTAGGTGTGTTGATTCCAAAATCACATTCTGTCACACTGACACTTGAAAACAGAGCTTGAGTAATATTTTAAATAAGAGCAATGTGTTTGTTAGTATTCACAGAAATAAATGCAATAATGTATCTAATAATTAGTTAAAAAAAATATGAAAAGTCAACATGATAATAAATAACAGAATATGCTGCAGCTATTTGGGGGAGGGTAGGTATCAATAATGTAAGTGGTGAATCCATCAAATCACTAGAAACAGCACAGAAAGGGAACTGACTTGTCAAAAATAACGCAGTGAGCGTAACCCTTTTTTGATCACAGAGGATTTAGTTTAATCAAGCCTTGGGCTGTATGTTTCACAAACGTAAAATACACTATTCTACCTTTTCAAAAATGTTTTTGGGTTAAATCCACTATTAATCATCGTATTCTATAGCACGGTAGGAAGACGAGATGGTTTCCATGACAGACAGGAAAAGAATATGATTTTATAGACCAATTAATAAGAAACCTTTAATTATTCTCTGATTAAATGTCACCCATCAAGGTGCAAGCTTTGGAACTACCGTATGAAGACGAGAACCGGGGGACAGTGACACTGAGCCGTACAAATATCAAACTCGTACTAAGTTTTCTACGTTTATTTTATTACAAAACTACAAGGAAACATTTTCTCAGTATTATGTTTTCTAGTTAATAGATAGTCACAGGATATAAATGAATATCTAAATTTCAATGTCGCAGGATATAAATAAATGTCTAAATCTCAATGTCGCAGGATATAAATGAATATCTAAATTTCAATGTCGCAGGATATAAATAAATGTCTAAATCTCAATGTCGCAGGATATAAATGAATGTCTAAATTATGTACTTGCAGAGAAATCACTATGCCATTTCCTGGTCATCGTTTGCGGATTAATTTGGGAAATTTTGCGTGGCCATTTTTATGAAAAGATTCTAGACCCCATGAGATTGTCTCCAGACAGCATCGGTGGGAATCATCAAATTAAGGAATAATTACCAATTTTACTCTAACATTAACTATAAATTCTCTCTACAGTCTAACCAGAAACAAATGTATTTAAGCATGTCACCATTATTATTGTAGTATTATCTTCAGGGGCCGTCTTTAATATGGATTGTTTGGTCTCCCCCCCACTTCCCCCCTCCACTCCCTGGCATGCAATCACACTCTCCACTCCAATGCATTGGTGAAACTAAAGAGGGCTCTGGTGCAAGAATTCTTTTGGGCCTCTTTATCGCAAGGGTGGCCAAAAGGTATATCCTTACAAGTCATGCAACTTTAACAAGGCTTCAGACAAACTGCTATGTTTACACTGCAGGGTTAATCCAGCCTCTAGTGGCTGTCTCCCTGACAGCCACTAGAGGCTCTTCCACAATTAACACGGAGTAAATCGCACTTATTTGACGCTGGACATCCTCACAGAGTCCAGTGTCAAATAAGATCCCCATAGGAAAGGATTAAGTAATGCTTTCCTATGGGTGGGTTTGAATGCGCGAGGCTCTAGCCGCGCATGAGCATTCAGCTCCACTCGGGAGCTGACGTCGATGGAGGAGGAGAGGTCACCAGTGCCGAGGGAGCCATTTATTTGCTGCGGAACAGGGCTCTAGTCACCGCTATAGTGTTCCTTTAACAGCTTTGGCTTGCAGGCCTGTACTAAGCACTGAGCCATGTTTGAATGTAATCATGTTTTTGTATGTCGTATGTTTGTGTGAATGTAGGGGTCTGGGAAATCCAATTAGAAGAGAAAACCTCCTTAGCAGTGTCTTGCGTAAGAAAGGGGCGGATGCCGGCAATGTTTCTACAAGATATAGAAAAAGTGAAAAATAGGTAAGCGCTAATAATATAAAAAAGTAGGCAGCAACCTTATAGAGGGTAACCCTCTTACCCTCTAGATAATGTACAGTAAAACAGGAAGAAAGGTAGCGCTACCTTTCTTCCTGTTTTTCTACAAGATATGGTAACACACGCACAGATACACACACACACACACACACACTGACAGACATATTGGCTTAGACACATATGCTGGCAGACATTCACACACATACACACTGACAGATTTAGTGACACGTACACTGACAAACATACTGGCATATACACAGAAAAATACAGACATACATACTGACACGCAGACACAAACACAGAAACACAGACATACTGACACACACACACACACACAGAAACATACTGACACACACAAAGACAAACATGCAAAATTTACACTTTTAAAGTCTCCCTCCAGTTTCCTTCCTTTTGGGTCCAGGAGAGTGGCTTCCCTTGGGTCCAGTGTGCTGGCTGGGAATTAGGCTCTGCCAATCCTGCCCCCCTCATCTCTGCCTTCCCTGTCCTGCATGGGGCTTCAGTATCTGTGGGAGGTAGTGACCGGCTGTAACTTCCTGCAATGCTGATGAAATGAAGGGCCCATGTCACGCTGTCCTTCTGACAAATGCCTACTGGGTGTCCCTAAGTGCATGGGCCACCTGATGAGCCCCCTTAGTGCAAGGGCCTGCAACAATTTATTTTAGGATCAGTGTACCTAAACGAAATTGATGCAGGCAGAGGCCAAATGTAACTGGGGAAGGGCAGCTGTCCTGTTTGTACTGTGTTAAAGACACTCATGATTATTATTATTATTATTATTATTTTTATATAGCGCCAACAAATTCTGCAGCGCTTTACAATGGGTGGACTAACAAACATTAGTAATTGTAACCAGACAAGTTGGACACACAGGAACAGAGGGTTTGAGGGCCCTGCTCAATGAGCTTACATACTAGAGGGAGTAGGGTAAAATGACATAAAAGTTAACAATAGTATTATCTTACATTATTACATCATTATTACATCATTATTAATTTAGTAAATGAATATCATCCAATTTGGACAAAATTAACCTTGACAAATTATTCTATATGACTGTGGATAAAGGAAGAATAATACGGACTGTGGATAAAGGAAGGATAATACGGACTGTGGATAAAGGAAGTATAATATGGACTGTGGATAAAGGAAGGATAATACGGACTGTGGATAAAGGAAGAATAATACGGACTGTGGATAAAGGAAGGATAATACGGACTGTGGATAAAGGAAGAATAATACGGACTGTGGATGAAGGGAGGATAATACGGACTGTGGATAAAGGAAGAATAATACGGACTGTGGATTACGGAAGCATAATACGGACTGTGGATGAAGGAAGAATAATACGGACTGTGGATAAAGGAAGGATAATACGGACTGTGGGTAAAGGAAGAATAATACGGACTGTGGATAAAGGAAGGATAATACGGACTGTGGATAAAGGAAGAATAATACGGACTGTGGATAAAGGAAGGATAATACGGACTGTGGATAAAGGAAGGATAATACGGACTGTGGATAAAGGAAGGATAATACGGACTGTGGATAAAGGAAGGATAATGCGGACTGTGGATAAAGGAAGGATAATACGGACTGTGGGTAAAGGAAGGATAATACGGACTGTGGATAAAGGAAGGATAATACGGACTGTGGGTAAAGGAAGAATAATACGGACTGTGGATCAAGGAAGAATAATACGGACTGTGGATCAAGGAAGAATAATACGGACTGTGGATAAAGGAAGGATAATACGGACTGTGGATAAAGGAAGAATAATACGGACTGTGGATAAAGGAAGGATAATACGGACTGTGGATAAAGGAAGGATAATACGGACTGTGGGTAAAGGAAGGATAATACGGACTGTGGGTAAAGGAAGAATAATACGGACTGTGGGTAAAGGAAGGATAATACGGACTGTGGATAAAGGAAGGATAATACGGACTGTGGATAAAGGATGGATAATACAGACTGTGGATAATGGAAGAATAATACGGATTGTGGCTAAAAGAAGGATAATACGGACCGTGGATAAAAGAAGAATACTACGGACTGTGGATGAAGGAAGGCGAATACGGACTGTGGATGAAGGAAGGATAATACGGACTGTGGATAAAGGAAGTATAATATGGACTGTGGATGAAGGAAGAATAATACGGACTGTGGATAAAGGAAGTATAATATGGACTGTGGATGAAGGAAGGATAATACCGACTGTGGATGAAGGAAGGATAATACCGACTGTGGATAAAGGAAGGATAATACGGACCGTGGATTAAGGAAGAATAATACGCACTGTGGATTACGGAAGGATAATACGGACTGTGGATAAAGGGAGGATAATACAGACTGTGGGTACAGGAAGGATAGTATGGACCGTGGATAAAAGAAGAATAATACGGACTGTGGGTAAAGGAAGGAGAATACGGACTGTGGATGAAGGAAGGATAATACGGACTGTGGATTAAGGAAGGAGAATACGGACTGTGGATTAAGGAAGGAGAATACGGACTGTGGATAAAGGAAGGATAATACGGACTGTGGATTAAGGAAGGATAATACGGACTGTGGATTAAGGAAGGAGAATACGGACTGTGGATAAAGGAAGTATAATATGGACTAAGGATGAAGGAAGGATAATATGGACTGTGAAAAAAGGAAGGAAGGATAATATGGACTGTGGATAAAGGAAGGATAATATGGACTGTGGATAAAGGAAGAATAATACGGACTGTGGATTACGGAAGGATAATACGGACTGTGGATGAAGGGAGGATAATACGGACTGTGGATGAAGGGAGGAGAATACGGACTGTGGATAAAGGAAGTATAATATGGACTGTGGATAAAGGAAGAATAATACGGACTGTGGATGAAGGGAGGAGAATACGGACTGTGGATGAAGGGAGGATAATACCGACTGTGGGTGACAGAAGGTTAGTATAGCCACGGACAGAATGGACCAGGTAGGATAACTGTATTGTAGACCAGAATGAAGGACAGTATAATACCGACCAATGAAAGATGTTATCTTCTTACTGTATAGTATATCTCTTTTGAATAGTGCATTGATACATTTCTTTATGTTCTTGTTCTGTGCCATATCTGCATTGTATTGCATATAAACCGTTGAACGCAGTACGGCGACAAGATTCGATTAGTTTTATTGGATCCAGTTCTGATGGTTCTCCATAAATGTTTTATCATACTCCACAACATACTTATTTTATATTTATTTATGGCAAGCAGATTTATTTTTACTGGATTTAAGTTAACTTTCAGGGTGGTCTGAGGTCCAGAGTGAAACTCAACACCTGCTCCTTGTGTTTATTAACAGGCCTTGCTTCGGGGCTATCATGTCACCCATCAGAAAAGTCCTTTTTGGTGATCACATTGTGTTTTTTAGCTTTCTCTAGCCTGTGGTTTGAGAAATGTGTCACTCAGCTCTTGTCAGAAGCTGCCACGTATTGGACACTTAGTGAAGATGGAGTTATCGGGAGACATACAGATTCTCGGATTTTTCATTTTGTCCCACTTTAAAAAGTGGAGACAATCTGCAATTTTTTGAATATATCTGTGCCAGCATCACACCAATTATAGCATTAATATATTTCTAGCCTGAGATTAACAGACCTCCGTAACCCAGTTCCTGTGATTCATTAATTCTCCTTGAGAGACCGTCGAGAATATTGCGCACCCACTCCTTATTTATGTCTGCCCACAATGAAGCCTCCACTGACATCACCAGTTTTATATACATCACAAACATTCTTTAATCACTCTCTTACCCTTTACTGTATTTAATGGTGAAGTATTCCAAATCTATCTACTACCCTTTCTGTATCACTGTTACCGCTCCCACTGGAAGGCTATTCCAGGTATCTACTACCCTTTCTATAGCACTGTTACCGCTCCCACTGGAAGGCTATTCCAGGTATCTACTACCCTTTCTATATCACTGTTACCGCTCCCACTGGAAGGCTATTCCAGGCATGTACTACCCTTTCTATATCACTTTTACCGCTCTGACTGGAAGGCTTTTCCACGTATGTACTACCCTTTCTATATCACCATTAGCCTTTACTGCTTACACTGGAAGACTATTCCAGGTATCTACTACCCTTTCTGTATCACTGTTACTGCTCCCACTGGAAGGCTATTCCAGGTATCTACTACCTTTTCTATATCACCATTAGCCTTTACCACTTCCACAGGAAGGCTATTCCAGGTATCCAATACCCTTTCTGTATCACTGTTACTGCACCCACTGGAAGGCTATTCCAGGTATCTACTACCCTTTCTATATCACTGTTACTGCTCCCACTGGAAGGCTATTCCAGGTATCTACTACCCATTCTATATCAATGTTACTGCTCCCACTGGAAGGCTATTCTGGGTATCTACTACCCTGGAAGGCTATTCCAGGTATCTACTACCCATTCTATATCAATGTTACTGTTCCCACTGGAAGGCTATTCTGGGTATCTACTACCCTGGAAGGCTATTCCAGGTATCTACTACCCTTTCTATATCAATGTTACTGCTCCCACTGGAAGGCTATTCCAGGTATCTACTACCCTTTCTATATCACTGTTACTGCTCCCACTGGAAGGCTATTCCATGTATCTACTACCCTTTCTATATCACTGTTACTGCTCCCACTGGAAGGCTATTCCAGGTATCTACTACCCTTTCTATATCACTGTTACTGCTCCCACTGGAAGGCTATTCCAGGTATCTACTACCCTTTCTATATCACTGTTACTGCTCCCACTGGAAGGCTATTCCAGGTATCTACTACCCTTTCTATATCACTGTTACTGCTCCCACTGGAAGGCTATTCCGGTATCTACTACCCTTTCTATATCACTGTTACTGCTCCCACTGGAAGGCTATTCCAGGTATCTACTACCCTTTCTATATCACTGTTACTGCTCCCACTGGAAGGCTATTCCAGGTATCTACTACCCTGTCTATATCACTGTTACTGCTTCCCCTGGAAGGCTATTCCAGGTATCTACTACCCTTTCTATATCACTGTTACTGCTCCCACTGGAAGGCTATTCCATGTATCTACTACCCTTTCTATATAACTGTTACTGCTCCCACTGGAAGGCTATTCTGGCTATCTACTACCCTTTCTACAGCAATGCTACACAGCCAGGTATTCTCTTTGCATCATACAGGGCTGCACAGTTTGTTCCCCTTTAAATACTGTCTCTGTTCCACATTGACACTTGTTCTAGGGCTGAATTGTTTTTGTTTTCTTGCATATCTCACCCACAGATATGGGACATTCTTTGAGATATCCAAAATGCCTATTTTGTACTGTTTTACCCTAACTTATTTACACTCTAACTTTGTTCAATCATCATATTATAAAATTTGTGAGAAATACCAGTAAATGTTACAGTATGATTTGAAATGGGGGTCGTGTTAAACAGAAATGTATTCGCTTTGAGTTCGGCACAGATAACGATTTCAGAGAGACGTTTAAAGATGCTTATTTAATGTCTGACATAATGCATCGATTGAACCCACAGAGCAGGAAATCTCTCAGACACTAAGTGACAACGCATCTATATCTCCATCACACAATTAGAGACAGCCCCCAAAGCAAAAAATGTCTAGTGTACAAAGATTTTATTAAATCATTTTCTGTGATCTCCAATTCTATAGATTAAAAGATATTTTACATTGTAATTCTATTCGTTTCCCTAAATATGTGCTTTTCTATAAACTAAGCGTTATTACCGTGTTACTGTGTCTGGGAATGTACATAAAATCATTATAGCAATTACTATTATTAAGAGCATTGTACATCAATATTTCAATATGTGCTAAGTGTCATTCTTAAAATCAGATTATCCACCGACAATTCAATATTTCAAGCTAAATAATTGTGTTTCCATTAAATTCCAAGTATAAGTAATAAATAATTTTGCTAATGATCTACATATTAATAAAGACGCTCTTGAAGTCGCCCGAGCAGCTTAATGTATAGCATTTGAGACATTTATCAATCGTCAGTACCGTCTCTTAACCTGTTATATGACCCCATTTCCAAGTCTGCACAGCCTCTACGCTGCTAAATGGCCACAAATCTGTGTGACAGAGCTGGGCTCTCAATAAATCTCTCATTGCAGCCAGGGCCCATTTACTATCCTTACTATAAATTAGCCTGTCACTACCATTTTGCCACAGGTTGTCTCAGTATACAAAGGAATTTTCATGTAATAATTGAAAGGTTTAACATAGACAGAAAATCAGGAGGAGCGCTGAGGAATCACCGGGCTCCGAAAACTCATAGTTTGATGACAATTTAGGGTGTGAATATGTATGTTGATGTGTGAGCTTTGTGTGTGTCTATGTATGTGTGTGTGAGTGTGTGTTTGTGAGTGTCTATGTATGTGTGTGTGAGTGTGTGTTTGTAAGTGCCTATGTATGTGTGTGTGAGTGTGTTTGTTTGTCTACGTATGTGTGTAAATGTCTGAATATGTCTATGCATGTGCAGGAGTCTAATTTTGTTTACATCTGTGCATGTGTAGGAGTCTAATTGTGTGTCTATGTATGTGTGTGGGTGACTGCATAGCAGTCGCCTGGTCCTCACAGATCTGGGACAGTTGGAAGGTATTTGTGTGCAAGCATAAGTTTATATATGTGTGTGTGCACATGTATCTACATCTGTGTGAGTGTGTCTCTTTGTGAGTGAATGTCTACATGCGTGCGTTTGCCTATGTATGTGTGTGTTTGTATGTGTATATGTTTGTATGTAATGTGGTGCTAATTAAGTTGGCATTTGTGGCATGTATGTATGTGCATCTGTTTAATTAGCTGTGTGTGGATGAATAATTAGATGAGTGTAAGTACATTAATAAATAAATTCTAAATCCAACATTAGATCTACTTAGTTTATGTTTAAACCCAAGGATGTCACACAGAAAGTTTTTTTCTCAGATGTTAATAATCATTATTCTGTTGAGTGGAAAAAACAGAGTTCTTTAAAAATAGCGATAAATTAAGTAAATATCTTTTGGTTCATGCAGTGACTCATTATTCCTTAATTTAATCCTCGCCACTCATTAATCTCCCTCACTCTGCCCTGTGGTATTGAAAATAGCAATCTTCAACAGCACAATAGTTAATGTCTGATCGATATCAACGCACAATGGATCTGACAGATAGCAGTTAAACACGCAGTCACATGGTGGAATTTTATTCATTAAACAGCGAAATGCAAAATACGCCAAAAATAGATCAGTTAAAAAAGTTCGTCAAA